CAGACGTCGGCAGCCAGAGACAAAGTAGTCCCGGTCCGAGAGACATAGGCGGGAAGAAGCGCCCCAAAGGAGGGAGGGAACATTCAAATCGTAACGGGAGGAAACTGAGCGTTACATCCCCCCCTTCCTAGACACGAATTAGTTTGGATCAGGTCTCAGATCTTCAATAAACCAAGGGCCATCTTCCTTTCCATTAGCATCTTCTAAAAGGTATCCATTTGTACCACTCTTGGATTTAATCTTAAAGCCACCAATAAACTTTTCAGACATCTTGTGATTCAAGTAAGCAGTCTTGTCTGACTTCACCCCAAAATTCCTTCTTAAAACCTTCTGCCCAACATCCAACTCACCCTTTCTTCTCCTCAAATTGTACCGCACTTCATTCCTTTCATAAGCAGCCCTTGAGTCATCCATGACCTCTTTTCTAATCTCTTCCATGTCTTCCTCAGCTTTCTTCAACTTTTCTTCTTCAAGAGAAGACCCATCTCCTAGCAACAAATCTCCATCCCATAAAGCACCGTCATTCTTTAACTCTCTACCGAACATCAGAAACTGGGGAGTACATTTGGTTACTTGGTTCACAGCAGAATTCATAGCCCATACATATTTAAGTAAATCTCGGTCCCAAGACCTATGATTGGGTTGTTGATTGAGAAAGCAAGCAATAATGGTCTTCAAAGTCCTATTATACCTTTCGGTAGGATTTGCTTGAGGATGATAAGGGTAAGTGTGGAGAACTTTGATCTTGTAGGACTCACAAGTCGTCTTGAATTCTTTACCAACAAACTCCCCACCATTATCACAAACTAATTTCTGAGGAGCTCCATGTTTCAAAACAATGTCTTCTTCAAGATGGCGGGCAACAGCCGCAGAGGTAGGCGAACGCAAAGGACGAACCCATATATACTTAGAAAAGAGGCAGGTAGAAACAGCTACATGAGTGTGACCAGCAGAAGAACGGGGAAGATTAATCAGATCAGTTGCTACAATCTGCATGGGACCATCCACTATACGCTGCTTACCCATTAGACCACAAGGGGTACTATTATTAGATTTGTATTGCAGACATATGGGACACCTCGACACATAATTGTAAATATCCTGTCTCATCAAAGGCCAATAATATAGAGTTCTTATTCTATTGAAAGTCTTGTAAAAGCCGAAATGACCAGCCAAAGGCGAATCATGACATTCTTGGAAAACAAGATTTCTCTTTTCTTTGGGGACTAATCGAACCCACGAATATTCGGGAGAACGACCACCAAAAATCTTCTTGAAAATCTGATTCTCTTCAATTTTAAACAGGGGATAAGAGGCAGGATTCTCAGAAATATTTTGAAGCAACTTCAGATACCAACGGTCCAGGACAGGTTCTTCTACAGTGATCAAGTCTACTACCGGGACATCCTCTTCAGGTTGCAATTCTAAAGGAGCCCGGGAAAGAGCGTCAGGTGCTTCGTTCTCCGAACCCTTCCGGTGTACTACTTTGTAGTCATACTGCTGAAGTCTAACAGCCCATCTTCCCAGTCTGCCCACAGGATCTTTTAGACTATCAAGCCATCTCAAACTCGAATGATCACTCACAACAGTAAACCGATAGCCATCAACGTAGCATCGAAACTTCTCAATTGCCCAGAGAACACAAAGACACTCGAGTTCTGTAGCTGAATAATTGCGTTCAGGCTTGGACAATGACCGACTAGCATAAGCAATGACTTTCTCTCCATCATCAAACTGCTGAGACAAAATAGCTCCTAGGCCAACCGTAGACGCATCACAATGTAAGATAAATTCTCTGCTGAAATCAGGACAGGTTAGGATAGGGGCAGAAGTCAACTTCTCCTTGATAAGATTGAAGGCATCTTGACATTCTTCTGTCCACTCAAAATTTTGATTTTTACCAGTCAGCTTGTGAAGAGGGGCCATAATAGTGGAGAAATTAGGAACAAATCTTCTGTACCACGAAGCCAGACCAACAAATCTCTTGACAGCAGAGGGGGAACTAGGTCTTGGAAATTCCATAATAGCAGAAACTTTAGAAGGGTTGACCATTAGCCCATGTTCATTCACAATGTAGCCCAAATACCTAAGCTCATCCCTGCAGAAATGACACTTTGCGAAATTGACAGTCAGACCAGCATCGACTAATCTCTGCAATACTAAGGACAAAATCTCAAGGTGCCTCCCAAAATCATGAGTGACAATAATGATGTCATCTAAATACACGAAGACATGAGGTTTGAGGTCTTCTCCTAGGACATTATCTATGAACCTCTGCCAAGTGGCAGCAGATGTATTTAAACCCTGTGGCATTCTCTTGAATTGAAATAAACCACGACCAGGTATTACAAATGCCGTCTTCTCTTTGCTAGCATCATCAAGAGGGATTTGAAAATAAGCACTCTTTAAATCGATAGAAGTAAGGTACTTGGCATCTCGAAGAGAATCAAGAATCTCATTCACCTTAGGCATGGGGTACGCATCAGGTTTGCTTACCTTGTTGATACCTCTGAAATCTACTACCCAGCGATAATCACCATCAGGTTTCTTCACTAAAAGTATAGACGATCGCCAGGGACTAGTAGAAGGCTCAACAACATCAAGCTCTAGCCATTCATCTAATCCTTCATGCAAAATACTTCGAAGCTTGGGGGAGTAAGAATAAATAAAGTTCTTGACAGGTGGCGAGTCCCCAGTATCTATATGGTGTTGAATTAAATGGGTGCGCCCCAATTTCTTCTTATCTAAAAGAGGCTTGAATTTCTCTACTAGCAAATCTAACTTCTTGGCTTCTTCTTCCGTAAGAGAATCTCTAGGTACAATGACTTCAGCAATTTCCAACACTTCAGAGGGAAAATCAATACTGCCTTTTCCAAAATCAATCACAGCTTGATACTTATTCAAGAAATCAATCCCCAGAATGAGGGAATGTTTAAGAGTAGGAACTACAATAAAATCCCAAACCATGTAGCGTTCTTGTAGAACGAAAGGCAAAGAAACAGAGCCAAGTACAACCTGGGTGCGGCCATCAGCAACTTTCACATGACTATGACAACTCTTATGCAGTCTCACACCAAGAGTGCGCAAGATATCCCAGCCAGCTCTACCGATGACACAACTTTGGGCACCACTATCTACTAAAGCAGTGAATTCCTTCTCATAGGCTTTAACTGGAAAATACAATCTATTATCTTCATTACTGAAATTGAGTGCAAGTATGCTAGCGGGGTTTTCTTCGGATGCGAGGCCTGGTCCCCTGCTCTTCACGGACCTCGAATTTAGTTTCCCGATTTCTTAGAACACTTCGGACAGTCCTTGGTAAGGACCTTGGGGTGCCCACACTTATGGCAAAATAGATTCTTCTTGGCAGTACAATCACGGAAACCGTGATCAGTGTTGCCACAATTCCAACACTTAAAACCAGAGGAAAGTACTTCTACTTTAGGGGTTTCTTTGGGGGTTGCTTCAGGAATGCTAGATGAGGCAGAAGAGGAAGGGACTGCTTCTACTTCATGGATTGCAGGTCGTTTAGAAACGGGTGCTCTACATGCTAAGTCTGGTTCTAACAGGGAGGACTTTGCAACGTTATTATAACGATCAATAAGTGATTTCTTCACCTCCAGCACTCGGGCAGCTTCTTTCAGGTGAGAAATAGAAATTATAGTTTCTAATGGAAGGTTCTCGATATACCAAGGGGCTAGATTTCTCATAATCTGGTCTAGTTTGGCTTGTTCGGAAACAGGTTCACTAAGTCTCTCAAATAAACCCAACATACAGGATACAAAGGACTGGACAGACTCTTCTCGTCCTTGTTTCCTAGCCCTAATTTCTTCCCACAAAGCTATCTCATAATCAGGCGGTAGAAACTCTCTTCTCAAGTAAGCTTTCAATTCATCCCACGAAGATACTTGGTTCCTAACCGACCGGTACCAAATTAGAGCGGTTCCAGTGAAGAATTCAGTAGCTCCATAAAACAATTCAGTGAAAGGTACCCCACGCGACTCAGCTAACTCTTCCAGGCGAATAAGGAATGAGTTTAGACTGCTTTCTTTCGACCCAGAGTAAGTCAAGTTCCACTCATGCAGGCGATGTTTGACTTCACGTCGTGGTTGGAAGGGTACATCAGCGAAGGGTTGAGCGCGGGGGATGGTATTGAATGGCGCGGGGTGATAACCAGCTTGGCCACCTCCGCCGAAAGTAGCAGGATTGGAAAAAGGAAAACTAACACACCCCTGAGGGTGGCTAGGTTCCTCCAAGTGCAACGAATGCATGTCATCAGACATCATACCCAAAGGGTGGCGAAGCAAGGGGCGATCTTCCACAAGAGACTCCCGGTTGGTAGCAGAATGGTATGATCTCAGGGAGGGGGCTGAGTGTGGGACTCGTTGAGACACAGATTCTCGGCAAGTTGAGACAGAAATAACAGAAGGGGCTTTGTAATCTGCAGTTGATCCAAGTTCTTTGAAAGAATTAGAAATAGCCTTCAACTCTTTCATTAATCGCTTACACCTTTCTCTGTGTTCAAGCTTGTTGTCGGTACAGTAGGTCAAACATCTCATCAATCGAGAGTTCAAATGAAAAAGCAAGGACCTAACTCTACGGGGGGCCACAACTGCAGGACAATCCAAGTCGTGCCTAACCTCATCTAATTTTGCATCACACAACATCAACTCTTCATCGGGGTCAAGCGGTGGTTCATCAAATAATTCCCCATCTTTTTCTCTCTTCAGAACGCTTCTAAGTAAGTCTCTCAATTCAGAAAAGTCATCCGCAGGTGACTTGACAAAGCCTCTACAGCGTAGCTCATAGAGCAACTCATCTTTCTTTAGCCTATCTACCTCCATGATCCAGTCCTATAAATGCCAACTGTTGCCTGTGTCCTACCTTTAGTTGAGTACAGCGTAACAGCAACAGCACAATATCCTCCGGCCGGCTCACAAGGTACAGGGTACAGGGTGGAAGAAGTCCACAAATGAGATGAAACACTGCACCTGCTACAATCGGAAAATATTAGCAAGGGTCACAACAAGATGGATAGCTAATAACAGACTTACAAAAATATAACCTATAAATAAATTGCAAGGTTAAGAATTGACAAAACAAACAATTCAAATAGCCCCACGTTGGGCGCCAAAATGTAGCCTCCAAAATCACTGGACTTGATATTCAAATTACCGACAGTACAGCCGGCTAGCCGGGCGTTGGGTTGTACTAATCTCTGACTTTAATTGTACTCAAGATGGGCGCCAGGTGCATTTGCACCGTCAGGATATGGCTACGATATTAAATACTGTGGTAAGAATGATTTATTGGCCAATATAAACAAAACAAATAGCCAAGGAAAAGGTCCAGTAAACAACACTAGTTGAGAGTAATAATAGGGCAACAAATAAGGAGAAACTCTCCCACAAAATCACAGATACGAATAAGATCACAAAGATCAAGAACAAAGGCTGATTTAAACAGCTGAACACATCAAGCTAAAACTACATATACATAGAATCATCAAGATTCAACAATCAAATATAGGCTGTACCAGACAGCTATTCAGAACAAACAATAAAAGTTACAAAATGCAACACATGACAATACTCAACTTAACAAAGCAAAGGTTTATGCCGCCGGAGGTCCAAAAGCACAGATGTAAACAAAAAGCACATTGCCAAAAGTAAGGCTAAAACATAAGACCCTGGAATAGAGGACACAGGAATTAGTAACAGTGGCAGGACATTTCATGGATCATTTTCTAGGAGGTCAAACTCACCGAAGGCATATCAGGCATAATATAATTTCCAAAGAAATTCCTCATCGGGTCTATCCACACAGTAACCTGGTCGGCACATGTGAAATCGGAGGTTAGAAAATGTGCTCACATAACAATAGGGATATTTCCCAAATCATCAGCGTAACTCACCGAAACTCATTATCAGGTGGCACAAGAATAGCTTATAAAAGCATAAAATCAATCATTCAATGGCCCAGCCATTATAAATAATCAGATGATTGCAGATAAAACATCTCGACCTCACGGCTCTCTCAACTCACGGTGACTGACCACCGGAAATGGCGGAGGGGTCAGAGTGTAGTTCCTCAGACGTCGGCAGCCAGAGACAAAGTAGTCCCGGTCCGAGAGACATAGGCGGGAAGAAGCGCGCCAAAGGAGGGAGGGAACATTCAAATCGTAACGGGAGGGAACTGAGCGTTACACATAGCATCTTTGTGTTTCCAATGGCCTCTCGAATTGTGAATTTAAGTATTATGAACGGTTCGGAGTGTAGCGGTACGTAGAGGGGTGGGGGGTGAATCTGTGGGAAATCCCAAGAAAGTTGTAACAATGAGGGAAGGAGGGGGGTTGCTAAAAGCCGCTAAAGGCTCGACATGTTAAATCTACGGAGTCCTTTGGGAAATCAAAATATTTTTTGGTGCAATATTTTTCACAACTGTTCCTAGCCTCGTGAAATCACGTGATTTCTTTTAGAGAGCTCCCCAAGTGAAGTGAAGCTCCGACGGAGCTGGATTTTTGCGCCGCCGCTGCCCGCTGCAGGCCGCGCGGAGGGAGGGGGCGGCCCACCAGGGGCGGGGTAGGCCTCCAGTCGCGCGCGCGTGCCGGGCGGGCGGGGCCGCTGCCCGGGCGGACTGGGCCAGCACACGAGCAGCGCTCGCCCGCTCTGACGCAAAACCTCAATGCACCTGGACTTCACCGCTTAATGCGAAACTAACTAGACGCGGCTACATATTTGACCTTGAGACTGCCTTCCTAACTGTGCCTCGGTGTTGAATCTATTAATGCGTTTAGTAGGAAAATGCAGGACGGGGGGCCTCGGGCTGCGGGCCCCTCCCTCGGAGAGTCCATGGCCGCACTTTCGAGTATGGCCTGGCCGGGCCCGACACACCACGCCAGGGTTCCGTGCGAAGGTTAGGGCCTAACGGCTCGAGCGGGCAGCAGCGCGCTCGCTCCCTCATACTCGCTCTCGCTCGCTCTTTCCTCCCTCACTCCCTCCTCGCTCGCTCTCTCCCCCCGTGCCCCGCACTCTGCCGGGGCGCGGGAGCTTGCGTTTGGCGTTATGACGGCCACGGCGCCGTAAACGGGAAAGTATGGTCCACAGGCACATCTCACCTCTCGCTCTCTCCCTCTCGAGGCGGGACCTGCACTCCGCTATCTCTCTCTCTCTCTCCCTCCCCACCGTGGACACCACTTTGAAAGGCGGTCCTCCGCCGCGTCCTCTTCAAGAGATGCTGGCGCTCGCCGCGCTATTGGTAGGGTAGGGGGACCACATCAATACGACAAAGAGCATATCACTTGAGAGAGAGACGGACAGAGAGAGAGAGAGGGACAGAGAGAGAGAGAGAGAGAGAGAGAGAGAGAGAGAGAGAGAAGGGGGCGCCCCGCAGCCGCAGCGCAGCGCTTGCAAGCGACCTAATTAGCATGTTATCAGTTCGGTCGGCCCATTGTCATGGCCCTCTTGCGGTTGCGCCCCGGCGGGGGATCCACTGGTCCGCACCGGGACCACGCACTCCCCCCCC